GACGCCCAACTTCGAGACCAACAGGCAGGATTCCGTAAGGATAGATCGTGCACAGACCAAATCGCAACTCTACGGATCATTGTGGAACAATCAATTGAACGGAATTCATCACTCTATATCAACTTCATCGACTACGAAAAAGCATTTGACAGCGTGGACAGAACAACACTATGGAAGCTTCTTCGACACTACGGCGTGCCTCAGAAGATAGTCAATATCATACAGAATTCCTATGATCGACTAAACTGCAAAATCGTGCATGGAGGACAGTTGACAAAGTCGTTCGAATTAAAGACCGATGTCAGGCAAGGTTGCTTACTCTCACCCTTTCTCTTTCTCCTGGTGATCGACCGCATCATGAAGACATCAACATCTGAAGGGAAGCACGGGATACAGTGGATATCTAGGATGCAGTTGGACGATCAAGACTTCGCAGATGATCTAGCTCTTCTATCGCATACGCAACAACAAATGCAGGAGAAGACAACCAGTGTAGCTGCAGCCTCAGCAGCAATAGGTCTCAATATACACAAAGGGAAAAGCAAGATTCTCCGATACAACACAGCATGTACCAATCCAATCACAATTGACGGAGAAGATTTGGAAGATGTAAAAACCTTTACATATTTGAGCAGTATCATCGATGAACACGGTGGATCCAATGCAGATGTGAAGGCACGGATTGGCAAAGCAAGAGCAGCATATTTACAACTGAAGAATATCTGGAACTCAAAACAATTGTCAACCAACACCAAAGTCAAGATTTTCAATACAAATATCAAGACAGTTCTACTGTATGGGGCGGAGACCTGAAGAACTACGAAAGCGATCATCCAAAAGATACAGGTGTTTATTAACAGTTGTCTACGCAAAATACTTCAGATCCGCTGGCCGGACACTATAAGCAACAACCTACTGTGGGAGAGAACAAATCAGATCCCAGTGGAGGAAGAAATCAGGAAGAAGCGCTGGAAGTGGATAGGACACACATTGAGGAAAGCACCGAACTGCGTCACAAGACAAGGCCTCATATGGAATCCTCATGGTTGAAGGAGGAGAGGAAGACCAAAGAATATATTACGCCGGGAAATGGAGATAGATATGAGAAAAATGGACAAGAATTGGATGGAACTAGAAAAGAAGGCCCAGGACAAAGTGGGTTGGAGAATGCTGGTTGGCGGCCTATGCTCCATTGGGAGTAACAGGCGTAAGTAAGTAAGTAAGTAATGAGGTTTGTCAGTAGGAGAGGTTTTCCAAAAGTGATATACCGTGATAATGGATCGAATCTGGTGGGGGCTGAATGTGAATTAATAAATGTCTTTAGGGTTGGGTACAGGAACGTATGCACTCTGATTCACAAACAAAAGGGATTGACTGGCATTTCAATCCTTCAGCTGCTAGTCATTGGGTAGAAGTATGGGGGCGCATGATTCGCTCTGTACGTAGGGTATTGGATGCTCTTGTAAAGGAACAATCTTTAGCAGATGAATGCCTTGAAACTTTCATTATAGAGGCTGAGTGTATAATTAACAATCGACCTTTGGTTCCCTTTACAGAAGACTCGAATGATCTCGATGCAGTAACACCGGCAAGACTATTACTATTGAGAGAGAACGTTGCAGAATTCGCTAACACTCTATCTAATGACAGGTATTCTAAGAGATGGAAACAAGCGAATTACTTGGCACAAGTATTTTGGAGACGTTGATCTATGGAATATGTCTCGCTATTGCAGCGTAGATACAAGTGGACACAACTAGAGAGGAACATACGGGAGGGTGACTTAGTAACGGTATGTTCTGACTTCTCCGAGAAAAACAAGTGGACCTTATGTCTAGTACAGAGAGTGATACCAAGTAAGGATAGACCAGTGAGACAGGTAGAACTGAGGACAAGAAAGGGGATCCTAGTGAGAGATATTCAAAAACTGTTTCTTCTTGAAGCTGTAGATGGTAGGTAGCTACTCGGGTCCCTAGGCGTACTGGTGTAAGTCCTAGAGATCACAAGATTGTTGGTATATTGAGTGTTTTTTGTTGATTGCTTGTGATGCACATACTTGGATCATTGTTACCTATTTATTTGTCTGTGAAAAGAACCAAGGTTCTTTCGGTCGGGAATCTTAAGGGAGAACTGAAGACATTTGACTGACTAAAAACTTTATATCAAATATTGTTAATTTCACTGTGTTTTGGATGTATTTGTTTTACTCAACTTCTGAACTCGTTTGTTTATATCATTATTTTCGGACATTTTGGTTTCTCTTTGTCTTTGGTTTGATATTTGGGAGTTTTTGCTCCGGGAACCTACAAAATTGAGTGTTTGTTTTGTAATTGTTATAATTATTGTTGTTAGAACGACATTTGGGTCGACTATTTGTAAATTGTGAATAAACTTTTGTATCGAAATTGGAGTTTGGTTCTATTGGTAATTTGAGTTCGCAAATTTAGATTTAGACTGATTGGCTTAATCTTGAGAGTAGTACGCGTGAGTTCGAGATGGGGTGGAGAGAAGAAAACTATTCTGTCACCTGATTGGTGGGCAAGCACACGAATGAGAGAAGACAAGACAACTGGAACACTACTCGATCTATTCCTGATTTCACTGAATTCACTGAATTCAGATTAATGAAAAAAGGTACAGGAATAAATAAGTGTATAACCTGACCGCAACGTACACTGATTAGGAAAAAGACAATTATGTCCAAAGTTGGGAATTAGAGTAGAAAATAGGGTGCAAAATAATATGTTTAAATTACAATGGCTTCGGAACAGAAAAAGGTATGGCAGTGAATGATACATCGAAAGAAAGCTTATGTTCTGTAGAATAGATTAGGGACAAAAATAAATGTTAGTGTTTTACAAGTTTTGAATAAAATGAAATAACGTCCTGAAAAATAGCCTTCGTAGTTTGTCAGGGCCTCTTCTTTTCCGGTTCACATCACTAAAGTTAGTCCATGCATATGTAAACAATTTACTCAGGGCCAGGGAAGATTAAACTGAGCGCTTCGTTCAACTGAGAAAAGTTTTCTAAACCCTCAAGTAGTACGACATTGTAATAAATATTGATAAATGAGAGTTCGGGTCATGTAATCGACATCTTATGCATCAAACCTATTCTAAATGATGTACGAACCATCAGAGACTGTTCAGATTTATTCAGATATTTTAGGTATCATTTGAGAACGACCAAATCTTGTCAGCTGTGTCTGAACATTTGTTTTGTTGTGGAATCAAAGGCAAGAGCAGAGACATTTCAAAACCCACAGAGATGAGAAGAGGAAATCTAGCAATATTTTCCCATATAAGGAGATGAACGAGACTTTCATTGTGTCCATTCTCTTACTTACTTACTTACGCCTGTTACTCCTCGTGAAGGAGCATAGGCCGCTCACCAGCATTCTCCATCCAACCCTGTCCTGGGCAATCCTTTCAAGCTTTTTCAACTTCTTATACATCTTTTTCATATCTGCTTCTATTTCCCGACGTAATGTGTTCTTTGGCCTACCACTTTTCCGCTTTCCTTCAGGATTCCAAGTTAGCGCTTGTCTCGTAATGCAGTTTGATAATTTCCTCAATGTATGTCCTATCCATTTCCATCGTCTTTTCCTAATTTCCTCTTCAGCTGGAAGCTGGTTCGTTCTCTCCCACAAAAGGCTGTTGCTGATGGTATCCGGCCAATGGATGTTGAGTATCATGCGTAGACAGCTATTAATAAATACCTGTACCTTCTTGATGGTGGTTGTTGTAGTTCTCCAAGTTTCAGCTCCGTACAGTAGAACTGCCTTGACGTTCGTATTGAAGATTCTGACTTTGATATTGGTTGAAAGTTGTTTTGAGTTCCATATGTTCTTCAGTTGAAGGAATGCCGTCCATTCTCTACTTGACTTTTATTGTATAGTGGAATATCCCCATTATTTACTCCATGTTTGCCTTTTTCAATGTTTGTTTGATTAGCGATTTCAGGACAATAACTGTTAAACTTTACTTGCTCCAATGTTGAGTCCTTTGAGGCCATCAAAAGTGGACTGGAATGCTCAGTCATAATGTTATGACGAAAGCTTTTGGGAATTATTTTAACTAGATAGTATAATTCTGAGAATTCAGCTCCTTTCACTCAATGTGATACCACACTAGTTAAAGAACAAATGAAAACTATGGTGAATTAGGAAGTTTGAAAATCTTCAAAAAAACCTTAGAAGCAGGATGTCCACTATGTCTGTATGTCGAAAGTTTAAGCTAATATGGAGTCCCTGATATGCGGCGATCTACACGAGTACTTATTATCCATAAACTTTCCAACCCTACAGTACAGTTTCAGAATAGGTCACTCTTGTATAATCAACATGCTAACCGCAATGGACAGATGGAAACTACTTGATCACAAGGAGAAGGTTTACGTCATATACCTTTAATTCTCAGAAGCTTTTTATAGGGTGAATTATATACGTCATATCAATAAACTCAAATCATCAAGTGTCACATCATCTTTTATGGATTGGCTCACCTCATATCTAAACAATCGATTTTATAAGTTCAGGGTGAACTTAACTCTTTCTCAGGCTACAGAATAGTCTAGTAGAGTCCCCACGGCCTAGTACCAGGACCCCTTTTTTTCTTAATCCATGTAAATGACCTTCCTCAGCAAGTATCGTCGGATTTGTGACCTTTGCCGACAATGTAAAACTCCGGAGAAATATTTGCATCGAAGATGATAAGCTGACACTTCAGGAGGATCTGAATTGAATTCAGAGTTCAGCAGACATCAAAGGACTTACCTCAAACTCTTCAAAGTGTAGTGTATTTTATCTGAGACACGTTAAAGACTACGAATACAACTCCCTCTAGATGTATCTCAAGCTGGAAAGATCTAGAAATGTTGATACCGTATGATCTGAAGTCTTATGCTAACTGCGATAAAATGTCCGAAGACAGAAAACTTTTGTGCCACTTTCCAGTTGCATAATGATAAAAACTGAGCTTTTGTTAAACTCAATAATTTCTGTAGGTCAAGAAGTCAGCACAAGTTTTAAATTATATATACTTGCTCCAGGAGTTTTGCACAAATGTTAGGTGTTACAAAGGAAGATGTCATTGAACTACTTAGTTTCATGCTGGACGCTGATTTTAACGAACAAGTATTAAAGTTTTACCCAAAGGTAACTGGCACATCAATATTTAACTCATTGAAACACTTAGGAAATATATAAAATAAACGATATCTGCAACTCACTAACATTTGAGGACTGTCCTACTGAAGTAAACTGTCTAAAATTTTATTCTTCGTTAAGATTTTGGAGAATTTGAATGGCTATATGTGTGGGCATTACCCACCATATATTGCTATCCCCCGTACTCGACATTTATCTTCGTAAGAACAGAATCTGTCCAATTATTTTAAATAGATCCTTAGCCGACTTAGGTCAGCTTATGCTTCAGTCGAAGTTTGCTCGCTGTCGAACAAGATTTGTCGTCCCGTCCTTTTCTTTTAAACACAAGGTTTGTTCAGTTTTATAGTTTATATCTAATACTTTATCCGAAAATTATTTTCTATCATCAATTAATTCACTAGCATTCTATATGTATGTTGTTTATAGTCCATACACATAGGGTACCAACTGACCATCATGAACGTTGTTTCACACTTTCCCTACTCAACATCTAGGTCCCGGAAGTTGCGAAGACTGAGAACTCGCGCCATCTCTTGTCTAATGACCATTACTATTTATAACTTCAAATGCTCCTTCGACGATCATGAATGACTCAATGTTCCCGCTTCAGTGTAACTGCTGTTGTACTGTGAAGATCTACAACGTATAGTGGTACTGCTACCGTCTCAGGAGGCACATTCATTTAATCTAATCTTGGGCTTGAATGCAACACTTCTACTTCTAATAAAGCTAAGATAATCAGACCGACATATTTTAGAACGTGATCGAGTAGCCTGAAGAGTGATCTGTGCAGACTATAATAGAGTTAGATTAGTTTGCATTGCATATTTACCAAGCTAAACATCAGATACCAATATGAAGATCAATATTTATTTATTTATTTGAACACATATGAAGAAAGTAAAAAAAGGTTACAGCAGGATCGCCACCGGCTTCCCGGCCGTAGCTGCTACCTTGACGTGGTGGTCGGGCTTGCCTATCGTGATGACCCAACCGAGCTATATTGGCTGGAACACATGCTCCTGCAGGTTCTACCATGCCAGGCAGGTCGATTGAAGAACGATAAGACTAAAAGCAGCAACTCAAGGTCTGAGGGCGAAGTCGTACTGCTGACTGTACAGAGGTGTGACAGCAGTAAGATGTTTCCCTCGGACAACCAGCATCTGCAGCGATGCTGCCTTCTCACAAGGAAGGAAGGGGTTAGAAAAGGTTGACCCTAAAAATGTCACACCTCACCTTACCCCACGGATTTCCGTCTCCGGCGGTAAGGCCCTTTGAAGAACGGAGCTAACACATTAAAAACCTCCCACAAAAAGGCCGTGCGCGACCGGCCTCAAGCAGTTGTCCCTTGGGCTCTGCGGTCACGCACTCAGGTCGCTAAGACCAACACTAATTCGATTTCCTTTTCAGGTCCCCCAAGAAATACCCTTCCACGGTGTGGGCAACCGGGAAGTGATTTCAGCCCTCATACCCGTAACAGCACACGAGACCAAGTTGGTCACATTCAAATCCTTCCTACACCTCCTAATAACTATCTTATCCCCATGACCAACCCTTCTCACGTCCCTTTATCACCTCGCCCCGCTAGTGCAAACGATTCGAATACACGGAATGTTATTCCTGGTCTCCTGAAACCACGCTCTAAACCACACGTAGGAGCTTTCAACGTCCGAACACTGTGTCAAATAGGACAACAGGCTTCCTTAGCTAAGACTTTAGAATCTCGCTCCATCGATGTGTTGTGCGTCTCCGAAACGCGCATACAGGATCCGAGTAGTGTCATTCATTTGACCGCACCATGACAAAGTAACGAACCAACTCGATTTACGCTTCGTGTATCTGGAAGCCCTGATGCTGCTTCCTGTGGCCTCGCTGGCGTAGGTATAGCATTGAGTTCTAGGGCAGAACTAGCTCTCTTAGGCTGGATCCCAGTAGACAGTCGTTCGTGTGCTGTCCAACTAGACGGAACAGTAAGGACTCGAAAAGATAGGGATACTCGTCGTTGCCTGTTTGTCGTCTCTGCCTACTCTTCCACTGACTGCAGCTAAGATGATGTAAAAGGTGAGTTTTACAGAAAGCTTTCCGACCTTCTCCGAAAAGCTAGGCGTTCAGATGTATTAATAGTGGCTGGTGACTTTAATGCTCAAGTAGGTAGACTAAGCGAAAGGGAAAGACACCTGGGTGGATCTTATGGTGTCGCGTCTCAAAGAACAGATAACGGCGACCGTCTAATGCAGCTATGCTCAGATAACCGCCTGTTTCTTGCAAACACTAACTTTAAGCATAAGGACAAACATCTTTTGACATGGCGACCTCCTAATTCGTCTCAACGTTGGACCCAAATAGATCACATCGCTATCAGCCACCGATGGAGGGGCTCGACTGAAGACTGTCGCTCATTCTGGAGCACATGCTTAGACTTAGATAATGCCCTAGTGCGAGCGCGTATTTGTCTACGCCTTACTGGACGTAGGAAAGATGGTGCAATGAAACCCCTTAGGGTCCTACTTAATAATAGTCAACCCCCCAAACGCCCTGGTACGGCCGAGAGTGGGGAGAGTCCGCTCTCCCTCTCAAAATGCTCTCACATGGCCACGCGTATATAGCATCTACCAGGGAAGTCCTACCCACTGCCTTCTCGTGGCGGGGTTGTTGTTTGCGAAAATGAGAGGACGAAAAGCGAATGTCCGGCGCTTTAACCGGATCCCAAACCAATGGTGCACATGGGCTCCAGTATCCTGAAGGAACAAATGGCGTATGAACCAATCGTTGGTCACCGGCTACCATGGGAGTGCATCTCCTCACGTTGTTCCACTGCCTTGTGGGTCAGACGTTCAGGTTGAAGGCTCGGGGTGTGGTCCCCTAAGAAAACCACCTGCTTCGGTTTGGGCACCCGGGCAGTATCACAGCCCTCACACAAATCAATTGAGATTCGTGTGGCGCATATGTATTTGGTGCCTCCTTGTATCAATACCTATGTGTTAAAATAAATAAATAAAAATAAATAGTCAAGCTAAGAGTATATTTCAGGAACAACTAGAAAAACAGTTAGGCAGCCATGTAAGTGATGCCCACCCCGAGGCGGCGTGGAATGACATCCGAAAAGCTGTAGAAACAGCAGTGATGTCTGCAAGTACGGTGAACCATAAGGTTAGGGAGAAACACTGGATCTCAGCAGCATCTACTCCACTGATAGATGCTCGTAAACTCATTCCATCTGGCTCAGAACATAACGAAGAGCGGAGTCAGCTTAAGCGTAAGCTGACTAGAAGCTTACGCAATGATCGTGAACAGTGGTGGGTAGCGAAAGCGAGAGAGATGGAAAAGGCAGCGGCAATAGGTAACAGTAGGCAACTGTTCAGACTTGTTAAGGAAACCGGTATTAGGAACCCAACTGTTAGCGAAACAATCTCAGAGAAAGATGGACATATTATTCATTCTCAATCCAGGAGATTGGATCGATGGGCAGAACACTTAAGGTATCAGTTCAACTGGCCTTCAGCCACACTTCGGTTTCCCACGATCTCCAATCTACCTGAATGGCAAGTTAATGTGAATCCTCCGACTTTTTACGAAGTTGAAAAAGCTATAGGTAATCTGAAGCGTGGGAGAGCAGCAGGCCCTGACAGGTTTACCCCAGAGATTTTTAAGGATGGCGGTCCAGTATTAGCAGCGAGATTGACAGAGGTCTTAGGTAGAATCTGGGAACTGGATGTAATCCCATCTGACTGGTCTCAATCACTGATTGTGCCAGTCTATAAGAAAGGACAAAAGTCTTCTTGTGACAATCACAGAGGAATCAGTTTGACCCAAATGTCCTGGTATGGCCGAGAGCGAGGAGGGTTCGCCCTCCCTCTCGAAATACTCTCACACGGCCAGGCGTATACAGCCTCTGCCAGGGAAGTCCTACTCACTGCCTTCTCGTGGCGGGGCTGTTGTTTACGAAAATGAGAGGACGAAAAGCGAACGTCCAGCGCTATAACCGGATCCCAATTCTATGGTGCACATGGGCTCCAGTATCCTGAAGGAACAAATGGCGTACAAAGCAATCGTTGGTCACCGGCTTCCATGGGACTGCATCTCCTCACGCTGCTCCACTGCCTTGTGGACTAGACCTTTAGGTCAGAGGCTCGGGGTGTGGCCCCTTAAGAAAACCACCTGCTTCGGTTTGGGCACCCGGGCAGTATCTCAGCCCACACACTAAAACCATGATGAACTATCTGCTTATGGAAAATATTCGTTTCTCTCCGACTATCATTGAAATGACTGGTACTATTATTATTATTATTATTATTATTATTACTATTATTATTATTATTATTACTATTATTATTATTATTATTATTATTATTATTATTATTATTATTTACTACGTCATTTATTCACTATCTCCTATCTCTACTTTTTGTATCCGTTTCGACTCAGACAGCAGCTCGCCTATGGTAAAAATTCAGCTTTATCTAAACGTTCTCGAGTCACTGCCTGGTTGAAAATTGTATGTTGCCACCGAATACGAGTACTGAAGCAGTTTTTCTGAAACCACGTGCACCATTCAAACTGGCTGCCTTCAACGTTCGCACACTTATGCAGGTCGGACAACAGATAGGGCTACCTGTGTCTTTGGAAAGTCTTAATATTGAAGTTTGTCGTCTATCCGAGACCCGTATTCAAGACTCTGGTGAAGTACTACAAATTCGCTCTCCATCTGTCACTTCAAAAAGCTTGTTTTATGTGCGTTTATCCGGGGACCCTGTATCATCTTCGTCTGGTCCTGCTGGCGTTGGTGTCGCACTAAGCGCAAGAGCTGAGGCAGCACTAGTCGACTGGATCCCCAATAACAGTCGGTTATGTGCTGTTAGATTAGAAATTTTCATCAAAGTGAGAAGAAATCGGCGTGAGAAACGATGTCTTTTCGTCATCTCCGCCTATGCCCCGACAGATTGCAGCCTGGATGCAATCAAGGACGAGTTCTACCACCAGCTAACTGTTCTTCTCCAGAAAGTGCGTTCGACAGATATTGTAGTACTAGCTGGAGACTTGAATGCTCAGGTTGGGCGTCTAGGCACAGAAGAGAGTCGTTTAGGTGGCCGATGGGGACTTGTTGGTCGCAGGACAGATAACGGGGAACGTCTACTGCAACTATGCACAGACCACAACCTGTTTCTGGCTAGCACTAACTTTCGGCACAGTCATCGCCGATGTGCCACCTGGCGTCCCCCTTCTGCATCTCAAGCCTGGATTCAGATTGATCACATCGCGATCAGCTACCGCTGGCGCGGTTGTGTACAAGACTGCCGCTCCTTTTGGAGTACCTATCTGGAATCTGAT